ATGGAGAAAACGATTTCATCAAAAAAAATTTGAGAAAAGAAATTTAAGAATCAGATTTGATTTTTTTAATAAAAATTAGAGAATGAAGGAGGAAGAAGACAAAAGAGAAAAATGAGGAAGGATGGAAGAAAGATGTGTGGTGGAAGTAAATACAACCACGTAGATGAAGGGCTGAGGTTAATTCCCGTTAAAACTAAATCTCTACTTACTCGTTAGCTAACTAGAAAATTAACAATTAGAAAACTAAATGAAGAAAATTAAGAAAAACTGTCTATGTAGAACAAACTGACTCATTATGATATAAAAAACTTGAAATTGTCCTAGAGTGATAATATCTCTATATTTAACATATTAAGATTATATAAACGTTGACTGTTCAAAGAAAAAAAAAAACTCTGCAACTCGAAATCTCTTTTGGTACGTCCATGTCTTTCCGCCATGGAAAAGATCCCATCTGTTAATACGCTTCTTATCATCAATGCACTTGTGCCTTTCCGTCTCTAGGTTTTCCTTTTCTAATCATCGTCTCTTTCTCTCTTTAAACCGGACAAAAATCTATTATGGGACAAATGATCCAAAATTAATCTACAACATAAAAAAAAATCTATCATGGACCAAAGGATGTAAAATGATCATTTTACCATTAATGAGAGTTCAATGTGAACCATTAGATCATATAATGTGAGATGTAATCTGAGCCGTCAGATTGATAAGAGAAGATTGGGTACAACTAGTATAACTCGTATAACTAAATATGTTGAAAAATGATATAACTACTATAACTGGTATATAAATGTTATAACTCTTGTACATTATGCAACTACTATAATTGAAACGACTAATAATCATGTTTTACATATGAAATAAACAAACATATATCCTAATTGGTATATGATGACCAAATTTCATCTATTTTATTTGAAATTTTCAATTTTTTGTTAAATTATTACATTACACTCTTAATTTTACATTATATATATATATATGTATATATATATTATATTTAAGGTTTGTTAAGTAAATTAGCTATATTTTTATGAAAATATTGGTACAACTTCTAAAATTAAACATATGAACAATTGATATAATTGTTATAATTTTTATTATATATTAGACGAGTATCATTGGTATAACTGGTACAACTTGGACATTTCAAAAATTGACAAAACCAATTCGGTATTCCAAATGAGAACACTATCAAATATCCAAAGTGGTAAGTAATCAGAAATTTTTCTCCTAATATATTTGACGTTTTGAAAAAAAAATTGAAAGTTATTACACAACTCCATAAGTTTATATGATATACTTTATACTTTTAAGGTTTGTTAACTTCTTTGTCCACATATTTTTGGGAAAACATATATGAAATGCATTTTAACAAAATCGATGATTTCCTTGTATTGGGCGAAGACATATATACACATAAAAATGTGGTACAACTGAGGTAAGTTTAAATTTCATGTGGTACAACTAATTTTTTGATGTTATTGCCAAAGTACAACTATGTACAAACCGGTACAACTCAAAAACTAGTACAATTATTTACAAACGTGTACAACTCAAAAATTAGTACAACTATGTACAAACCGTTACAACTCAAAAAATAGTATAACTATATATTTAGAAAATTATAATGACTTATAACATAATAAGTTATGGAGCTAGGACCCCCATTCGGCAGATAAGATTGGTAGTTATGGTCCCTCGTAACACTGACTGCATAAAATATACAAGTAGATATACTAATTGGTATATAATGACAACATTTCATCTATTTTATGTAAAGTTTTTCAATTTTTTGTTAAATTATTATATTACAATCTTAGTTTATATTATATACTTTATACTTAAGGTTTATTAACTACATTACCCGTATTATTATGAAAACAAACATAAGACATATTCTTACAAAAACCATGTTGTAAAAATATTAGTACAACTCAAAAAACTAGACATATAAACAATATATTAATATTTTTATAAATATATTAGATGAGTATTATAGGTACAACTAGTATAATTTTGACATTTCAGAATTTGCCAAAATCAGTTTGGTATTCCATATGAGAAAACAATCAAATATACTAATTGTTATGTACTCATAGAGTTTATTTAATCTAATTTGAAGTTTTGTATAAATTGTTTTTATAAATTATTACAAAACTCCATAGTTTAGATAATCTACCTCATAATTTTAAGGTTTGTTAAATTGTTTGTCCACATAATTTTTAGAAAACATATATGAAATGTACTTTTACAAATTTAATGATTTTAGTGTAACTGGGCAAAGGTATGTAAACATAAATAAGTGGTACAACTGAGGTAAGTGCACTTATTATGTGGTATAACTAATATTTTTGATTTCACTGCCAAAGTACAACTATGCACAAATTGGTACAACTCAAAAACTAGTACAACTTTGTATAGTCAGGTACAACTAAAAGACTAATACAACTATTTGTTAATTTATTTAATATTGTCTTAAAAGTGGATCATGTTTTAAATGTGTATTATGTTTTAAATGTATATCATGTTTTAACAATTTTGGTTGAACACTAATGCCAAGTAGTTGTACTAGTAGTGTCAAACGGAACATAAGTTTTGATAGTTTCAAAAGCTATAAAAACAAGTTTAACATCACAAGAAACATAAGTTTTAATACCAAAAAGAACATAAATTATATAAAGAACATAAGTTTTCAAAAGTAACCCCAAAAGCTATGTATTTGAAGCGAAAGGAGACCTTAGTTGTCACTGATGCTCCCTCCTTATTCTTCTTTCCGGTGACTCTCACTTTTGAAGAATTTTCTGATTCCGCATCAATTTTTTCGGCCTTGAAAGCAAAAAGATGAAGCTGGTTTTTTTTCTGAAAATGGTATAACTACTATAACTAGTAAAAGTTGTAAATAAACCATTATCTAAATAAAATATTATTAAAATATAGAATTCATGTATTTGACATATGCATGAGAAGAAAAATTAGACCAACATGTCTATGGGTTCTACATCATACTCTTCTATACCATCTTCATACGTTGAAAAAAAAAAAAAATCACTTTATTAATTGAAATGTTGTATTAGTTATCTGTGTTTTACTTGTGTCAGTTATATTGTTATACTCAACTTACATCAACTCATTTAATAATTGATGTAAAATATAAATTATTTGCATCAACGCAATATTTTTTTTGTGACTCGCGTTACAACTCTGTAAGTGGTCTTGACAAATAAGGCGATACAACTCGTAAAATTTTATATAACATAACAATCATGTTTCTGTGTTGTAATATTGGTACTACTGGAATAACTACGAATCGTAATACTAGTAAAACAAGTCAAATTACATTATAAATACCTGAAAGAACATACTAGTACAACTAGTGAAACTATGTAGATTCTCAAATTTTAATATTTTATAATCACCAAACATGGATGTTTATGGGTCCTTTTCAAACTCGTGATGTCGTATGCATCATCTTTTGTAGTATACTCTTCTAAATCCGTTTCCCTTGGAGTCTTTTTGAGCTTCGTAACTGCATTCTTCGGATTAAATAGCAAAAAAATATGAAAATAATTTTTTTTTGAAAAATAGTACAACTAGTACAACTATATCTACTAGTACAACGAGTAAAATAAATCATTATCTAAATGAAACATTATAAAATAAACTACTAAATATTTTTTTAGAATCCATGCGGAAAGATTAAACCATCATACCTCATTAGTTTCACATCATCCTCTTTTCTAGCAATATTCATATGCTAAAAAAAAAATCAAATTTCACCATATTAATTGTAAAGTTATACTAGTTATACACATTCTAATTGTAGTAGTACTTAGACATGTTACACTCAATCTATTTTACGGGACCTCTTAGGCAAGCTACTGTCCTTACCTGTTTATATTATATATCATTTGGTGCATCACCAGCAATACAATATTTTGCTCAATCTCTTATCTTGTTTTCATGTTTATATCAAGAAAATATATCTTGGGAAAAGAAGCTTACCATTCAATGTTAAAACAACATATTTCAAAGGTTGGTACAATTAAACTAGTACTAATACTATTATTGTAGTTAAACTAGTTGTATTAGTCAGACTATTATTGTCGTAATCCTAACACCAAACATGCTTATATAACCTTTTGAACTCTTGATGGTTTTTGTTGCATCTTTTTGTTTACATTTTAACATATTTTGACAAATTCATGCATAGGAAGATTAGACCATCCTTTTCATTAGTTCTACATTTTCCTCTTCTATAACATCATTCACTAAAAACAAAAACTTTAATATAACCATATTAATTATAAAGTTGTACTAGTTATAGTTGTTCTAATTGTACTAGTTATACTCATTGTAGTTGTACTAGTTATACTAATTTCAGTTGTACTATTTTTACTAGTAATACTTTGTGTTCTTCATTGTCGAAAATTTTGTATATTAAAAGTGAGATTCGATTTAATAGGAGAGAAAATAGATTGAGAATGATGAAGAACTGACTGATTTGGGATAAGAACGAAAATCTGTAAAATTTGAAGATTTTTTTTTAATTTTGATTCTGATTATGGAATGGAAAATTTTGGTCCAAAAATTTGTTAAGATGGAGAATTTAGAATCTGTATTCTTAAGTTTGTGAATCAGAAATGAAAATTGAATAATACGGAAGAGACTAAATGAATGATACTTAAGTTTTAGTTTGACTTTAATTTTTAATAAGTGATGATGAAAAATGGAGATGAAGAACGTCAAAATAACGTTGGAGAAGAATAAGAGATTTGGGAATTTAGGGATTTAGAATGGTTGGGTCGGGTTATTGGGTTTGGATAGATAGTGGTAAGATTGGTAAATAAGTAGATCTTGCTAGATTTTAAGGATTTTTTGTGCATTTTTCTATTTAAAATTAATTCAAAAAAAAAAAAAAATAGAAGTGGTCTATTTTAGATTTTTTGTCGGCCATTTGGTGTATATGAGCTTTTGATTCCTTTAAACCCTTTCTCGCCGATTCGCCTCTCAAGTTTCTCAATTCCAAATCTAGGGTTTCTAATTGGCGATCCTCCTGTACTTACCGTGAAGTTCTTTCACTTGAATTCAATTTTAAAGGTACGAAATTGATAATCGGATCTATTTTAATTCTTACGAATCGCCTGAATTGTATCAGCCACTTATTAGAAATTGGTTGGATCTTTGAATTCTTCTGAATCTGTGTGTTTCCCTCTGTGTTTAGGGTCTTAACTTGATCGGGAAAGCACGAGTCTTGTTTTGGTTTCGAGCACATCTTTAAGACCAAACAAAAGAGTTTTAAGAGGTTGCTGTAATAATGGACGACGGTGAGCTTGAGTTCTCAACTCACGAGCTTGAATTCCCACCAAGCAGCTCTTCCATGGATTCTTTCTTGGAAGAGCTTCTTCAGGACTCTCACGCTTGTACCCACACTCACACTTGTAACCCTCCCGGACCAGAGAACACACATACACACACATGTCTCCATGTCCACACCAAGATCCTCCCTGCTCAGAGCGACGACAAAGAAACCACCGACGACACATCCGAGTCTTCGGAGAAGAAGAGCAGCAAGAAGAGGCCTTTGGGGAACCGAGAAGCGGTTAGGAAGTACAGAGAGAAGAAGAAGGCTAAAGCTGCTTCCTTGGAGGATGAAGTCATGAGGCTCAGGGCTGTGAATAATCAGCTGATGAAGAGGTTGCAAGGTCAAGCTGCGTTGGAAGCTGAGGTTACGAGGCTTAAGTGTTTGCTTGTGGATATAAGAGGAAGGATTGAAGGAGAGATTGGTGCGTTTCCTTATCAGAACCCTGCGGCTGCAAACGCGAGTTTCTCGTATAGGATGCAGCCTTGTAATATGCCATGCGATGTTGACAACTTGTACTGTCTTCAAAATGGGAACGGTGGAGGAGGTGCGTTGATGAATGGGCAAGGGATGAATGGTTGTGAGTTTGAGCAGCTTCAATGCTTGGGGAATCAGAATGGAGCTGGCTGTAGTAATGGAAATGGAACATTCAGTGTCGATGCAACGGGCTCTAGTAAGAGAAAAGGTGAAACTGTGACTAATCACTTAGGATCTCACTGCTTTAATACAGTTTTCTTGTAGTCTTCTCAGTTTACTTACTCTGTTTAAATTTTTGTTTTCCTTTATTTTGCAACAGATGGGACTAGTGCAGCTAAAGCAGTTTGAGGTATCATCAATCAGTATGGTGCTATCTATTTTCACAAGGCACTTGATTTATCATCAATCAGGTGGGACTAGTGCAGCTAAAGCAGTTAATTATTTTCCAATAAGTAATAGAGTTCGATTGTGCTATTATCTTTTTTGTTTTTTTCTTATGTGATTGCAATTCGTTGTTGAGCTTGTCGAAGCGAGAAGTAAGGCTTGTTAATATTCAAATCGAATTATGCCAAGTGTTCTTGCCGTTTGCTTTTGCATTTTAGTAGCTTCTTTCTTTCTTTAAGCTCTTATGGAGAGTGATCTCTGGGCAGTCTATGTTAATTGAATAAAGATTTAATGATTCTTCAATCAGGTTCAGTAGTAGTAGCAGAGTCATCAACTTCACTTAAGCATCCTCTTGTTATGTGAAGAACAATCATGTATGATGCTGGCTCAGTTCTGAGTTCTAGAGTCCAAAATTTAGCCACAAGATTCGATTGTGCAACAGATAATTCATAGAAACCAACATGATCCAAACACGGATACAATAACAAACATAAATGAGTCAATTTGGTCTTACTACAGACAACTAGATAAAGCTTGATCTAATGGAAAGACCAAATCTTAGTTTTTCACGACTGTTGTGTAGTATCTTGCTTGATATCCTCATCTTCATCTTCATCTCGGTAGATGCTTTCCGCCATTTGCCAGACCTGAAGACTGTTGTCTTCTGCTACACTCGCAATGACCCACGGCTCGTTTTTGTTCCAAGCAAAATCTGAGATCTTAGCCTTGTGGCCTCCGTGAGAAAAGAGCAACTCTGGTGGACCATCTTCTGCATCCAGCTCTATCTCAAGCTGCTCTTCTCCAACCCTGTAAACCCGCATAAAAGAAGCCTTAAATAAAAAGTTCATATTCAGAGTTCTGCAAAGGAGATGATTGGTACCTGTTCAGGTCCCAGACCATCAGCCTTCTATCTTCACCGGAAGATGCAAGCACTGTTTCATGGTTAGGATCCCACTCCACTTGGAAAACCTCTCCCCTATAATCAAAATATCTCGTTTAAATGGTGGATTTTTCCAGCAAACTTGTACTCAGTGCATATTTTGCTTTGAAACAATAATATAAGACAGTGCAGGGAATGTAAGAAAGTGTAAAAGAACATACTCGTGGCTGCTCAAGACATGCAATGGTACATTCAGCTTACGGAGGTCAAACAAGGCAACAGTTGAGTCTGAGGAAGCTGTCGCTAAAACCCATTCGTTGAACGGATTGAAAGACAGATAGTTCACCTGAGAGCACACAAAAAAAACAGTCACATGCGAGCTTGCCATTTTAAATTCTCACTCAGTCCTTAGATACTAAAGATGGTTATTACCTCTTTCTCGTGAACCTTCACTTGGTGTTGCATTTGGTTTGTACGTGTGTCCCATATCACCAATCGACCATCATCACCAGCAGAACCAAAAAGGTTCTCGTTCTTCATGTGCCACGCTACATCTTCCACAGCGCATTCATGTCCCTAAAACCATAACAGTAGAGTAAAATTAGAAGCAGAAAATCTCTCTCTTGAAGAAACAAGGGTTTGGTTACACTTACCTCATACACAAACATTGCATTGAGAAGCTTATCTTGCGGAGTAGCTGAAACATCCCAAAGGCAGATCTTTTTATCCTGCGAACCACTCAGAAGATAACCTTCCTTGAAGGGACTCCAAGACAACCCATACCCTTCCATGTCGTGCCCCATCAGCCTCAAATCAGGATCACAATCACTCGTCTGAGGCTTCGAAGCATGTTTGGCGTAGTCAAACAAAAACACCTCACACCCACTTGTCTTCGCACCGACAAGCGTCGGCTTCTGAGGCATACACCGCGCTCTGTTCACTTCTCCATCAACACGTATTTTCTGCCTTATCTCCACCTACAAACAAACAACAAGTAATTTCATCGAACACATGGTGCGCATATAACACTTGTTCTTACAATTTACCCTAGTAATTTAATCGATCACGTGGTGTGCATAGAACACAGTGCCACGGAGATCAAAACAGATGAGAAATTAAGATACCTTAGGGACAATGGGATCTTGATTAGTGCCGCCTAAGCCAGGCTCGGCGTCGGGGGTTGGGATAAGGGCGTCGGCGACCATGAGGAAATCTTGAGCATCGCCGGAAGTGTGGGTACCGAGGATGAGCTTGTGGACGCCGAAGTAAGGATCCGACGCGTAAGGAGTCGGCGGAGAAGGGACCCAGTGGACGGTGAGAGAGGGCCATTCGAGAGGGTTGGAGATCATGAGATCGTAGAGGAATGGTGTGTTCTTCTTCCATATGGAGAAATCCTCCTCTACTTGATCCACTCCCGCCTCCTCCTTATTTTCATCTGCCATCTCTCTCTCTCTCTCTCTTTTCTCAGTCTAGAATCTGCTTCTTCTCTCTCTCTCTCTTTCTCTCTCTATTTGATCGGTGTGTCGAGGGTTTTCTCTGTTCTATTTTCCCGCCAAAGAGATGCGGAGAGACTGGCGGGGTCTATGATGTAGATGCGAGTAGTTTGAGCTTTCTACAATCGAACGCTTTGCCGTTTTGTTTTTGAGGACCAGCATGCATGTGTCTTTATTTTAGTAGGCCTATTTCGAGTTATTCATTTATGGGCTTCCCGAGCCCCCAGACCCATTCTTAATGCACGCACTAAGCTTAATTAAGTTTTCTAATATTACAATTTTGTTTTTTGAATGCATTGTAAATTAACCCAAAAAATATAATCTGTTTTGTAGAACATAGTTGCATAGATTAAAACCCTACTTACTTGTTCTATTATATTGTAGCTAGCCATAGTTTTTTTTTATTTTTTATTATTATTTGGAGGTTTTGGCGACAAGGCCATAATCCTCCCGGTCCGCGATCCGGCGGACACTGATACCATGGGGACAAGGCCCATGGCGTAAATCCCTTCCACGGTGTATCACCCAGGAACTCAACAACACCAATGCCTGCGCTTAAACCAACTGAGCTGCCACTTCCGTGGTTTGTAGCTAGCCATAGTTGCAGACATCCCTCATAGCTTCGTTTTTCATTTGATCTTTGAGAGAAAGAATTCGGTTCATGACTTGTCTATCCGAATCTTTGATCAATCATGCTGTTGTCCATGGAACATCCCCATGTCGTCTTGCATTTCTTTCCCTCCATATAATATAAGCTGTTGTTTGCCACACATATCGTATAAGAAAACACTTTGTTTTTTGTTGTCTATCTCCTAAAACCAGTTGTAACATACTCTACCAGTCCACCACCTCACGGCCATTAAGCATACCTTTGGTAAGGTTCACCCAAACTTCTATTGAGAAAGTACATGTGAAGAACAGATGATCTCTTGTTTCCATAGGAGCTTTGCATTCTGGATAGTCGAATTCTAAGTGATCATCATATCTCCTGTTGTAAGTCTGTTATTTACAGCTAGCCACGTTAGGAAACTGTACTTTGGAGTGGAGGGTGTAAATATTTGCTGTATGATCGTTATTTGACATGAAACTTCTTTTGCTCTTAGTTTAATGTCTTTTTTGTAATGACATAATAATGCAATAGTTGGTAGAATTGATCTGATCTTCGTTATTCAAATAAATACCCCATCACTAATCATTATAGTATTTTAAATTATTGTTGAATAGTACTACATGTTAAGTACAAAGATGAATGATGATACAATGTGCCAATAATTTCATAATATATTTCTCAAGTGTTAAAACCAGTGTTTACCATTTCAAGAATTGAGTTAACTATAACTTCAGGGCTTAGAACCACACTGACTCTGAATATCTTTTCACAGTCCTCAGCTTCAAGCAAATCAAACTGAGACTGGAGAAGAGTGAGAGGCATGAAATGTTCTCCCTCTGCAGCTCTCTTCTGTAACCGAGCAGCTATCACCTCTGCACTACCTTCCAATAACACAAACTTCACCTTGCAGCTCGAATAGCTTCCTGGTTTGTAATCAGGATCAGAGCCTCTCAAGATTTCTCTATACTGTTTTCTCAATGAAGAACACGCGAGAACAACGGTTTCTCCATTGAGCAAACGTTTTCGCAAACTCTCCTGTATTTTCAGAAGCCATGGCATCCGGTCTTCATCTGAAAGAGCAATGCCTTGCCGCATCTTATCTAAAACGAACCATTAGCAAGTATTAAAAAAAAATGAAAACTCTGATTTTGTCAAAATGTATTTGATTCTTTTACCTCTGTTTGATAAAGAGTGAAAGTCATCGGCATCAAGAAAATCACAAGATAGTGCTGTTCCCAACATGTTACCTATGGTACTAGCAAAGTCAAGAAAATTTGTTCAATCACAACATGTTAACAGAGGAGTGAACAAACAAACAAAAAAATCATGAACTTACGATTTGCCTGCTCCGCTTACGCCCATAATTACAATGACTTTGCCTGTTACTATGATACACACGAAGAATGAGTGAACAACATATGAGAAACATTGACAAAAAAAAAAAGGTGTGTGATAAGAACATGTTAAAGCTTACCTTCAATGTTTGTCGACATGTCTGATCACAACAGGGTTTGAGTGATTTTTGAAAGAAACAATAGCTTAGATAATCTGTTAGCAAGAAAACAACACAACATGTCTCTCTTATATCGCTGATTGTTTTGAATTGATAGAAGAACTATACATCTTTTCCTGGTGAAAAATTCTTAATTTTAAACAGTTCTTGCCTAAAGCTCTCAATCTTAGCTTATAACCCACGTTGCGACTTACGAGAATATTCAGCACATTTGGCTCCTATCACAAACGTTTGACGTTAATGATGAGTCGCACGATCAACTTATTTGGCTCACAACAATTTGGTTAATTCAAAAGTCAAGAAAAATACGATCCACATTCCTTTCTTATTTTTAAGCGAACGCTGACCTTCTCTTAGATACATATAAGACGATCGAAAATATGAAATGAAAAATTAAAGACTTACTGTGTTTTCCCTTGATTCGGGGACACTTGTAGATGTGAGACAATTGGAGTTTTGATCAAACGCAATTCTGAAGAAGAAGATGATGAAAGTTAATTAGACATATTGGGGTTGAAATGAAGAAAAAAAAAATAAAGATAACAAAAGTTTGGTAGATGAGATGAGACGGAAGAAGGACGGAACTTTTGCAGAGGGAGAGAATACCCAATTAATTAATTAATTGTTATATTTTTGAAAAGATAGATGACCCATTAAATTATTTTTTGCATCAAACTATTTTATTTTTAGAGAAATTTGCGTTCATACCAAAGAAGTTTGCCATAATTTGCAAAATACCAAAGAGAAAAAATACACCTTACTGTACACAAACAAAATGACTCTGTTATCCTTTTTTGAATTCTCCTTTCACCTGACCAACTCCAGCGGGCAGCCACATGTTTCGACGGAAGAGTAAGAGATACACAAGATATTCCATATCTTTATTGTCAGTACCTTTCTTTCTCTTTCATCTTTCATCTTTCATCTTCCATCTTTGTTTCTCTTTCTTTCTCACCTAGAAACAATTTGTTCATGAAAAATTTATAGGACTTGGAGTTGGAACTTCTAAGATTGATGAAGTTTTTTTCTTGTTGCAATTCTCTTTTGGATTTGACAGAGATGATACATCACTTAATTATTTTTCAATTTGAATAAAGCTTGACAACGTATTAGACATACAATATAGTTGCATTATCTGAAAACAAATTTCTTAACTTATTATTTATTTAGTGTTTACATCATCAAAATTTTAGTATCTGGTTAATCAATATATAGATATGCGACGTATTTTGTTAGCCGGCTATACTATTCTTTTTATTTAGAATGCCATATTTTTTTACCCACATAGGTGTTTAAAAAATATTTTTCAATTTAAATAAGAAAGTTTACCTAGTTTGACAACATATTAGACATGAAACATAGTTGGATTACTCGGAAACATAATTTCTTAACTTATTTTTAATAATGTTTACATTAACAAAGTTTTTTTGTATCTGGTTAATCCATCTAACAGATGTGCAACATATATTGGTTAGCCGGCTAAACTATTTTTTCACGTAATTTTAAATCGTAGCCGGTCAAGTGGCCGAAGCTATCCTATATTTATATGTTGGGGGTATTGGACGAGTACTAAGGATTTAGGATTTACCGTATAGATTTATTTAACGGTTTAGTGTTGAGTTTTTATGATATAGAGATATGCAAGGATTTAGTCGCGTATTAAATATATTACTCAGATATTTGTACTTCTAGCCTGCTAAGTGGCTAACGAAATTATATAACTAACAATATCTTAGGTAATTTATAATATTAGCTTGCTACAATAACTATTAGCCGTCTGTTATATATATTACTTATATATTTTTCATGCTAGCCGGCCAAGTGGCTGACGATATTGTATAGGACTAACAATATCTTAGGTAATTTATAATATTATCATGCTACAATAACTATTAGCCACATGTTATATATATTACTAATATATTTATCATGCTAGCCGACCAAGTGGTTGACGATAATTTATACTCATCTGTAAGTGATCTTCGATTAAGTACAGAGTTCAGGGTTTGTGGTTAGACATTAGGGTTAAGGTTTAGAGTTTAGGGTTTAGGGTTTATAGATATCCAAGGGTTCAGAGGTATGCAAGGGTTTATGGTTTAGAGATATGCAAGAGTTTAGGATTTAAGGTTTATGGTTTAGGATTTAGGATTCGAGATTTACTCATATATTTGCCATGCTAGTCGAACAAATGGTTGACGATATTGTATACTCATCTGGAAGTGATCTTGGATTAAGTTGTTAGGGTTCACGGTTTTTCCCTTTCTCTCTAGTTTAATGCTTGAACCTTAAATGACTAACAGTTTGTATCTAAGGTAATTATTAATATTTTCGTGTTACAATAAATTTTAGGCGTATACTAAAACAATTACTTATATATTTGTCTTGTTAGCTGGTCAAGTGGTCGACGATATTATATGGATCAGTCATGGAGATTTCTGTAAATAGAGTTAATTAAAAGATTTAGTGTTTCGTGTATAGGTTTAACAGTATAGAGTTAATTAAAGGATGCAACTTCTGATAATGTAAATGAAATCTCTATTAAATCTTATCAAATCTATCAAAGATTTTTTGTCATAGATAATATAAATAAGATCTCTATTTTATCTTACTAAATCTTTCAAAGATTTTCTGTCAGAGATAAGTATCCAAAGACCAAATCCGGTCAGCTGAAATGTCAAGTGGACAGGATATTTTGGTCATTTTCACAGCAGTTTTTTTGCCACGTACACTTCTCCTTTCTCCGTTTTGGTAATCTCCTAATTTCCTAATCTTTCTTTGGTTTCTAGCTAAATTGCTCAAAAACTCTACAATAAAAGAAAAAGTCAAATTGAAAATGGAAATTGGCAACTAAAATCAGCAAAATATATTTTTACAGGAAAATAATTTATATTATTTATATAATTTATATTATTTTCCTACTAATAATTTAATATTTATTTATTTATAAACAAGGAAGCAACAAAATAACTTTTCGTAGAAAAAGGTTTATCCTCACCGATTGAGAGCACAGTCTCTCTTCCTTTTCCAGTTTTGCCTTTGGGAACTTATCAGACGAGAGAGAAGTATAAGCCATGGATAGGCTTCTTCAACCACCGTCTTCTTCCATACTTACCCCATCTAAATCTCAACTAAGAGCATCTCCGTTGCTCCTCCGTCTCCACCGTTTCGACTCTCCCAGTCTTAGCTTTACCTCCTCCTCTCGCCGTCTGACCTCCATTTCCTGCCTCTCCCGCCAGAATCTTCCGCAGACAGGATCAAGTCAAGCTACACAATTCTTGTCTTCGTCTCCGGAAGCCGATGAGTCCAACCCTAATCCAGGGTTTCTCCAACGGATCGTGAAGAGTTGTGACCAGAGAAAAGTAATAATAACTTATTCTCGTTACTAGTTATGCATCTTCTGGTCTATATACATGTCTTGTAGCCTTAGTAAGCAAATGGGATATGAAAAACAATTTTTTTCAAACCGTTTTTTATATAAAAAAAAAAATCTGTTTAGGCATTCAAAAGTTCGGCTTCTGGCAGCCTAAACAATAATCTTATAGCAACAGCCAAGCAATTTTTCAGAACACTGATATCACAATAACATCAGTTTAGTCTTGTGCTTTTGGTTTAGTAAACATATGATGTCTGGTCTAATATCCATGTCTTGTGGCCTTACTAAGTTGTTTTTGGGTTAGTAAGCATGTGTATCGACAAGAGCATGAGTCTAGTCTTGGTAAGCATGATATCTGGTCTATATCCATGTCTTGTGGCGTTAATAAGGTGTTATGGTTTATCTTTGTCAAGTGTTGATAGAGAAAGTCTAGGAACAGTGGATATGTTTAGTATTGATTCAGTTTCTTTTACCTTTAAAGTTCACTCCTTTATGCGAATCTGTGTGTTCTTTGCAGACGTTATCAGCTGGAACAATCATACTGATCTCTGCTGTAGCTGCGCTTTTGCTTAACCCTATCATTGCGCCACCTGCTTTTGCTAGCTTTCAAGCCGCAGCTAAATCTAGTGGCGGTGGAAAGTTCCTCCAGACTGAGATACTGACAAGTGCATGGACTGGTTTCTTCGCTGGTTGCTTACACACACTCTCTGGCCCTGATCACCTCGCTGCTTTGGCTCCACTCTCCATTGGAAGGACGAGGATGGAGAGTGCTGCGGTTGGAGCTCTCTGGGGATGTGGCCACGACGCTGGTCAACTCATCTTTGGTCTACTGTTTCTGCTTCTAAAGGATAGGCTCCACATTGAGGTCATAAGAACTTGGGGTACACGTGTTGTGGGCTTGACCCTCCTTGTGATTGGCGCTATGGGAATCAAAGAAGCTTCTGAAATCCCTGAACCATGTGTGGTTGTTGGCGCCTTGGAGAACAATGGGGAGACAGATGAGAAAAACTCAAAGAAGAAGAAGATTGGGTTTGCTACATTTGCGACAGGGATTGTTCATGGGCTGCAACCTGATGCTCTGATGATGGTGTTGCCTGCACTAGCTCTTCCTTCTCGTGTAGCCGGTGCTGCGTTTCTGATCATGTTCTTGCTTGGGACGGTGATAGCGATGGGAAGCTACACGGTGTTTATAGGGTCGTGCAGCGAGGCGTTGAAGGACAAGGTCCCTAGGATCACTGAGAAACTAACATGGGCATCTTCTCTTGTGGCCATTGGACTGGGATTGGCAATTATTGTTAGCCAGTTCTTTGGATTCAGCCTGTACTAAGAGAGACAGACCTCTGCATCAAGCCTTTGTAGCTTTAGGAGATTTAATTGTTTGCATGTACCAAGAATATCTGTATCTTGCTTCAGTATCCCTTTTTTCTCGCTACTAATAGAAGTTTGGATTTGGCTTCCTAATTTTGTGAGCATTCTATATTTGTATTTTCTAAGATGCTTTTCATCTCCCTATTTTTCTCTATCAAATTGATGTACCCTCTTGAAAATGGTCTTAGTAAAATAAAAACATCAATATGGTATCCGCAGTTCAGGTCTTTTGTGCTTGATAATCCGTAACCAAAACTGTGTTTAAAGGAAAAGTCAACAGAAGCATTACTTGCGAAGCAACATTGGAGAATTATCTCTTCTCCTTCCTCCTTTCTTGGTCGATTCATTAAAAGTAGATACTTCTCGGAAGGTTCTCTTTTATCCGCTAAGCTAGGTTCATGTCCGTCTTATGTTTGGAGAAGTATTCTCTTTGGCAGAGAACTACTTACTAAAGATCTAAGGCATTATGTTGGAAATGGAAAGTTTCTTACAGTTTGGTCTTCCTGATTAGTGGATGGAGACAGACTTAGAATTCCATTGATGAAGAATCTTTTTGTTGACTTCAATCTTCGGGTCAACAATCTCCTCATGGACAATTCCAATTCATGGAACATCTTCATGTTTAATGATCTTTTTATCCTCAAGATATTGCCTTAATTCTGAAGATCAAGCCAGTTATTTCTGTTGATGACTTCTATACTTGGAACTACACCAAATCGGGTGAGTACTCAGTAAGGACAGGCTATTGGCTAGCTGAAATGGTTTCTAAATCAGAAGCTCGAGTCATTGCAGAATCTTTGCCACCCCTAAATGCAATAAAGAAATGCATTTGGGAATTGACACTACTCCAAAGATAAAAATATTTTTCTGAAAAAGGGTTAGTGGAGTTCTGTCAGTAGCAGACTCTCGAGGTATGAAGGTTGATCCACGATGTCAAGTTTGCGGTCTAGAAGGTGAGTCCATTAATCATGTTCTCTTTGACTGTGACATTGCCAGAAGAACATGGGCGGAAAGCAACTTCCCATTTCCCCCAAATGGTTTTGACTCTTCCTCTGTCTACTACAGCAGCATCTACTATTTTTTAAAGACAAGGAAGAACTCTCTAATACCAGAATACATAAGAAGATCAGGGGTCTGGATCATTTGGTCCATATGGAAAAATATGAATGCTTTCTTATTTGAAGGAAAATTATCCCATGGAAACAAATTCATCAAGACAATTTACGAAGAGGTAGATCATTGGTTTTTGATAAAGGATCAAGAATCATAAGCTAACCAGATTGACTTGGAGAGGATGAAAATTTTTTTATTTAGTTGGAAACCTCCTCCTACAGATTGGCTTCAATGTGAAATAGGATTCACTTGGGATAAGTATCGTTACCAAAGTGGAGCATCATGGTTACTCAGAAACAGAAATGGAAAAGTGCTTCTTCATGGTAGACAATCCTTCGCTAATATATTTTGTATCTAGGATGCATCTCTTTCAAGCTGGACCTGGGCGGTTGAATGTATCAAAACACTACATTTCAACTCTGTTGTTTTTGTTTCTGATGATCATGGACTAGTCCTATCCATTTCAAAACCCTCCTCATGGCCCTCTCTTAGATTCTACTTATCTACGTTGCTACCTATGTTAAATGGAATCCTAGATTGGAAAGTACACCATTCTCATCATCGATGCATTAAAGGTGCTAAGCTGATTGCTGAAAGTGTTATCAAGTTGGATCTGTTTCAATCATACATTGCTGTGGGTCATCCTTCTTTAAGAAACCATTTATTTGGTTAGACATAGTAGGTCTTGCATCTCCACATCTCGATTGATTGAGAATCTGAGATCCTGTTGAAATACATCCCTAAGATCTTATGTATGTTGTAATAATTTTAAATATAATCTAGTGTTTAAAAAAAAGGAAAGGTCAACACATAAAGTGGCTAACGAATACATTACGTCTGTGAAGGACAAGAAGCAGACAAAAAAGCATATAAAAGCAAACTTTTCGACCAGAGATAATTCGTTCCTTTGTTTCCAAACATGTGAAGATCTCAAAGTAACTCTTAGTCGGGTAATGCAGTTCCTCGTTCCAAGTTGTTTTTGATCTCCAGAGTGTATTTTCCAAACGCACGCTCGATTTTCTTGTTGAAATGTTCGTTTCTGTCGTTGATCGAATCGATATCCTTCTCTTCCCTGAACTTCCTTCTCCTGCTAAACTCCTGTCGCTTTTCCTCTCTGTCATGGAGCTCCTTTGCCATCTTATCTATCTTATCTTTCGAAGTCTTTGGTGCCTGCAAAAGATCAACAAAGAATTGAGCTAATAACTCTTTGCTCAGGACTTGAATCTCCAAATGAACAAAACGATATATCAACTAACCTTGCCGTATTGCAAGCTTGAGGCCTCGCGGTAAAACTCTGGATCAGCTGCCCTCATTTTGTTATACTCCTCTAGATCAACCTGAATGTTCTTTGTCCGCTTCTTGTATGCGTTGTATAACGTCCTCTGGTTGAACACTGAAGAAAAGACACAGGAGTTAGAGAACACTGGTGGAATCAATGTGAACCAAACTAAGCGAGAGTTGAAGAACGTACCATCCCAACCAGAAGGTGTGGGTTCTTTTTCCCACTTCTTGTATTTTGTTTCCGCTGATTCTTGAGTGTCGAGCATGTAAGACTTGGTCATATCTAAGCCATTAGCATCGAGAATCTTCCCAATCTTTTTCTGCCTCGCCTCCAACCATTTCTGTTTTGAGATTCCTTTTGTCTCTTTTGGTGCTTCCATTTTCTTCTTTTCACTCCCGACATCTGTCTGATTGAACTTTCTTGCTTCATACTGCGGGAGAGACATATATTAAAACGATCATAAAGACAATTTAAAGACTTGAGAGCTAATGATGACTATATAAGAAAAAAGGCTTACCATCTTACGTCTCAGCTCAAACAACTTCTTCTTTCTTCCTGTAAGTTGGGACACGTCTACTTCAGGTTCTTGGTTTTCCTCTTCTTCTTCTTCTTCCTCAGAGCTCTCTTCCTCTATTATTTTATCACCAAGTGACTCTCGCGACTGCTCGTGACCTTCAGCATCAACTAAACCTTTTGGCACATGAAAAAAAGAGCATAAGTCTTAGTTCTAACTTCTAACAATTTTCCAGAAGTAGGTGATTATATCATTAGACAGGACATTGCTAACATGTAGGCATTTGTGTCTGCAAAGAGTGAGTGAATCAAAACTAAGTCAGTACCAGAAACATTATGTGCAAAAACTTAACACACAGATCAAACTAAACCTCAAGCAGCAGCTAGTGATACGCATCAAAGTTATAGACAATAATAATAATCACAAGAAACGCAACAAAACACATCTTAGAACAGCAAAGCCACAGAAAAATATATAAACCAGTGACTTTGATTTCATCTAAACGCAGATACTAGCAAATAGACAATGAACCTCAAAATCAAAGACCATTAATCACGTAAAACAAATCCCACACAGAAAAAAAAGAGTAAAAGCAGTACCTTGCTTCTCTAACTTGGCCTTAGCTTCAGCAATTTTCTTAAAGCAAAACTCGACACACTCGTGATAAGGGTTCGAAGCGTTTATACAGTCCGGATGCACTTTTCTCTCACTTTCCATATTGCGAAACTGTTCAAATAACGCCACTAGGAATTAGGAGAATTATATAGCCAAAGAGCTCTCTATAGAATGACAAAACCAAAAAAAAAAAAGATGAGAGATTTCCAATGATGTCGATAAGATCTAAACTGGGTTCGATAAAAATTTGATGCAAATTCAACATTAAGATGAAGATAACCAATTCAAACCCTAGAAGACGACCCAGGAGGGGAAAGATTGTAGATCGAAATATGTTTCGGGGGACGAAAACCCTAAGAGTAGTGGAAACAAGTAAATCACCTGTTTCTCGGTGGGGTTCTATTCAAACCAAACGATTGAAATCGAAGAAAGAGTAAAACTGAAATCTCGTCAAGAAACTAACCTGCGAATAACCAACACCAGAGGAGATTCACGGAGGATAAAATTCTTCGTTTTCCTCCTCTCTTAAGTGGAGAAAAAGGAAAACTAATTAAATGTAAGAAAATAATAATCAATAATCGGACCGATAATTTGATGGGCTATTGTTGGACCAGTTAGAGCATCAATAATCGGACCGATAATTTGATGGGCTAATTAAATGTAAGAAACTATTTTTTTTACTATTTGATTTAAAAAATATTAATAATAATCAAACCAATCGTTGGGCGACATCTTGTGAACAGTGTTGAACTCGTTGGACAGAGATTTACTGGGAAGAGTTTGGAAGAGATGGGGTTCACTGATGCAAATGCTCTTATATATGAGTTGATACTGACAAAATTATATATATGTTTTCTTTGTTATTCCTTGGGATTTGGACTCTCTACCCACAACATTTACCCTATTTAGAGCATCTCTAATAACACGGTTGGAATCCTTAAAAAACTCTTTTTTTATATGTTAATTATTATATTTTATTTTTTTCAGATTTAAATAAACAAAATAAAATATCAACCAATTGCAAACTGTTATGTGTTGTGGGGACTCGCAAATAGTGTAAGGATTCGCTAAAAACAGCCATTATTTAAGGATTTTTAGGATGGAATCCTTAACTTTTTGTAGGATCTACTGATTATTTAATTATTTTTTCTTTAAAGATTCACCCTTAAAGACTGCCGTTGGAGGTGCTCTTAGAGGAACATTTTTGATTAGAGTCCTTAACTATTCAAAAGAAAAAACAATTATTATATAAGGACTCAAATGGTGGATAACACCATTGATGGTGCTCTTACACTCCCTATCTTATTTCTCCCGGTTTTTACTCACTCCATCATCAATATTTCTCCCCAAAATTAAAATATTCAACTTCTTTTAATATTTTGAACAAATTAACTCTTTCTATTAATTCTTTTCCAACCAATACGAAAACAGAAAATTTCACATTTGGCAAATTTCCTGAAATGATATACATAAATTACTTTTAAATAATTCTAAACATAATAATCATCACATGATCTCTAAAATATAATGCCTAGGCATTGGAATGAAAAATGCTTGTTTCTTTATTTTGATCAAAAAGCATATAAGTTATATTTTAATAAAATATTGTGTAGATATTGATAGTATTATTTTAAATAGAAAATGAAGAAAAGCTCCTTCTTGTTAAATTTTATAGTTTAAATTTTAAATAATTATGATCATACAAATAAAATTACAATAATTTTAAATATTCTTGTTAGATAATTTAGTCATCTTACATATTAAAAAGTGTAGTTTTAAAAGAATTACAGAATGGTGTACTTTTCAAATTAAAATCTCATATCAATGTATTTTTCCAAATGTTCTCATAAAACTACTATTTTAAATATTTTCAATACTAATATTTTCTTTTAATACTATTTTAATACTAATATATTCATTTTGTAAAATCCTTTTTGAATACCATAAAATCCATTAATTTAATATGATTGTAGAATCCTAAACAAAAAGCCCATACACAAAACTTTTAAAGAATTTTAAAACCCATCAAAAACCCAAAGCATCGTCCTTTCTTTTCTTCTCCTCTCTTAGTCGTCTGTCAGTTTTTCTCCAATCATATTCTCCTCTGCCCCCTTCTCGCACGAGTGAACTTTCTGCCACCACAATCATGGCGGCGACGACGACAGCCTGGCAGCCCCGAAACGATGGCCTCACCGAGATCTGTACTCTCCTCGAACAGCAAATCTCCCCTTCCTCCATCGTTGACAAGTCTCAGATTTGGAAGCAGCTTCAGCACTTCTCTCAAATCCCCGATTTCAACAACTACCTCGTCTTCATCCTCGTCCGCGCCGAGGTTTTTCCGATATTTCCGATCGTTGATTTCATTCGCCTATCATCAGATTCTCTTTAGTTGATCCTGTATTGCTGTTACTGTTTGATTATATGTTTCCTTGCTGATGTGTAACGTTATGATTGGTCAGGGCAAGTCCATAGAGATTCGTCAAGCTGCTGGATTGCTTCTGAAGAACAATTTGAAAGGTGCTTATCCGTCCATGTCTCAAGAGAACCAGAAGTACATCAAGTCGGAGTTGTTGCCTTGTCTGGGAGCAGTGGACAGGAACATACGGACTACCGTTGGAACTATCATCAGTGTTATTGTTAATATTGAGGAAGGCTCTGGGTGGCCTGAGCTTTTGCAAGCTCTTGTTACTTGTTTAGATAGTAATGATCTGAATCACATGGATGGTGCGATGGATGCATTGTCAAAGGTACGTTTCAGCTATGATGTGATATCGTTGGAATGTTTTTCGAAGTTATTGTAATGTCGACATGTCTTGTTGATCAGATTTGTGAGGATATCCCACATGTGTTGGATTCAGAAGTGCCTGGTTTAGCAGAACGCCCTATCAACATTTTCCTGCCTAGGCTATATCAGGTGAACATCTCATATTGGTGTACATGTTTCTAAACTCGGTTGTTGCACTTGCTAGGTTCTAGTTTGATTTCTTTATTACTGTTGGGTTTGGTTGTTGTAAGATTGATTACCTTTCTTTTGTTTGAGCAGTTTTTCCAGTCTCCACATGATTCACTGAGGAAGCTAGCCCTGGGTTGTGTGAACCAATATGTCATAATAATGCCTGCTGTAAGTGTAACGAAGATTATTTTAACACTTTTTTTACTTATATCCGGATGTGGATTGTAACAATCTTTGACTTGCAGGCCTTGTACAATTCCATGGATAAGTACCTTCAGGGGTTGTTTGTCCTCGCCAATGATCCTGTAGCAGAAGTCAGAAAATTAGTACGTGACTTAGTTTCAGCTATGTCACATGATTCATTCAGTTTCAGTGAGATCTTATCTCATTTCGAAGTTATTTTGCTTATGTAAAATTTCTCTTCTTATGTTTAAAAGGTATGCGCAGCATTTGTGCATCTCACGGAAGTCCTTCCCTCGTCTATAGAGGTATTTTTCGTTGTTGTGTTATTTTTAAGCTACTCTTAAGTGTCGCCTTTTTGGAGGTACCTCTTATGTTTAGTTCGAGCTATTCTTCTACCCTGCATCTTACATTTTCGCTTCTTCCCTTCTTGTTCGTTTCAGCCACACCTAAGAAATGTAATGGAATACATGCTACAAGTCAACAAAGACCCTGACGAAGAAGTGGCTCTCGAAGCATGTGAATTTTGGTAATATGTTCTTCTCTTTGTTTGTTTTATATATGACGGTTGTATGCCTCTTTTGTCTTGTGTTCTGTAGTTTTTTTCCCTTTTTCGGCCTGCTTATTCCATCATTGTCCTCATTTGTTCTCAAAGCTATATTGTTGTTTGGCAGGTCTGCATACTGTGATGCTCAGCTGCCGCCAGAGAACTTGAAAGAGTTACTGCCACGCCTAATTCCAGTATTGATACTCTCCTTTCTTCAGTATCTTTTTGGCACATAATCGTTTACTCGGCGGGTGTAGTTTGAATTTTTGTAAAATTTATCTGTTTTAGGTGTTGCTCTCGAACATGGCTTATGCAGATGACGACGAGTCGCTTTTGGATGCTGAGGTTATTTTTCTGTTGGTTATATTTTGTTTCTTCACCTTTCGCCATAAAATTTTCCAATGTATATCATATGAAAACTTTTTACTTTTGCAGGAAGATGAATCTCAACCAGACAGAGATCAGGTGCAGTTATTTGTTCTATTAACTTTGATATTTCTTAAATTTTTTCTTTTGAATCTTCATTCATTTTGGTCCCGCCTACAGGATTTGAAACCTCGTTTTCATACGTCGAGACTTCATGGATCAGAGGATTTTGATGACGATGTACGTGATCTAGTTCTTTCAGTGTCATTTATTTGTATATATGTTACGTATGTGTGTACAATAATTCTATGGATCCTCTTTGATGGTTATCTCTGAATACAGGATGATGACTCGTTTAACGTGTGGAATTTAAGAAAGTGCAGTGCAGCAGCTATTGACGTTCTCTCTAATGTATTTGGAGATGAGATCCTTCCGGCACTCATGCCCCTTATTCAGGTAATTGTTATTCCTCTTAGTCTTTGGAAATAAATTCAATAAACTAAACCCTGTTCTTCCATGCGGTAGGCAAAATTATCAACTTCTGGCGACGAGACCTGGAAAGAAAGGGAAGCTGCTGTTTTGACCCTTGGGGCCATTGCTGAAGGCTGCTTTAATGGTCTTTACCCTCACTTGTCTGAGGCAAGTTCGTTTTTGATCTACAACATCTCGTATTTTATCTTTTTTTCTTCGCTCAGTTCATGTAAATCAATATACTTGTGCCTTAATTCTGCAGATCGTAGCATTTCTTCTTCCTCTTTTAGATGATAAGTTCCCTCTCATACGAAGCATATCTTGCTGGACGCTTTCTCGATTTGGCAAGTATCTTATTCAGGTATGATTTGAACTGAAGATTTCATGCTTCAACTGGTTCAAAAGGTCTTTAGATGACTTACTACTTTTCTTTTCTAGGAAATTGGCAATCCAAAGGGTTATGAACAGTTTGAGAAAGTTCTTATGGGTCTTCTCCGCAGACTCTTGGATTCGAACAAACGTGTTCAGGAGGCTGCCTGTTCAGCTTTTGCAACTGTTGAAGAGGTACATATTGGCTTGGGGTTTTGATATCATTTGTCGATAGTTGTTGACCATATGAATTATTTTCTATGAACATGTAGGATGCTGCTGAAGAGTTAGTGCCACACCTGGGAGTAATACTGCAACATCTGATGTGCGCTTTTGGAAAGTATCAGGTTAATCCTTTGCCAAAATACATCTCTGTGCCGGCTATTATCTACTTCAAGCAACTGTTTCTATTCGTCTACCTAACACACAATTTTCATATACCAGAGGCGGAACTTAAGAATTGTGTATGATGCTATTGGAACACTGGCAGATTCGGTTAGAGAAGAGTTGAACAAGGTATGACGATTGGATTTGTCTAAGGTTAATATGTTCTTGTAAATTTGAGCTCCTTGACGATTACTTTTCGTTCCATCCACTGGTGCTTAATATTCTTACTT